AGGAGGTCCTCTTGCTTTCATGCTTTGCATTATATTGGTTATTAATCATCCTCATCTTTTTATTGTCTTTCTTAATGTATTAATGGTTCCCAGCAATACCCAAATTCCATCATCCTTATAATAATCATTACCCCAAATCTCTCAAGCATCCAGGATATTGTCACTGCCGAAATATTCCCTTCCTCCAGTATCCCATCCCAATTCACCTCAGGGGATAGTTTTAACCATCGCATAGTTATAACATTCCAGGAGCTCCTCACCAGCTGGACAGTGGGTGGTTCAGCTCCCACAACCCCATTTTAAAGGCCTCCTTCCTAAAACACTCTTAGATCCACAGGTTGGCTTCCCTAAGAAATGTACAGTGAGACCCCGAGATTTTCATGCAGCTTTATTAAGGATCACTTCCTGGAACAATGCCTGTGAGCAGCAAAGGAAGCAGAACTGGGCAGAGAAAGAAGTTGGATTATGATGCTGTTGCAACAAAGACCTCAGTCAGTTAGGAGCTCTGGGGCTGGACTGTCCCCGCAGAATTGTCCCAAATGAGGCAAGAGGGTCGGGACTTTGTATCTCCTACACTAACGAGCACTGGATGTGAGCGGCTCCCAGGTGGAAGGTATAAACTGGGGTGAGGCAGCTTCCTTTAGCCCAGGGCAATTCCTGCAGAGGGACCCAATGATAAGCCAGCAGAGGCCAACACTTCCGGCATCTGAGTGCTTTGGTGCCAAGGGAGATTTGGGTGATACACGCTATCTATAACAGGAGTTTACTACCCATTTTGTGACCCCCAGGGGAAACATTAACGCCTGTGAGCATGGCAGAGCCAAGGATGGAAATGAGCCTGAGAACATGAAGCCATCCCTGAGTGGCCAGATCAATCCTGAGACTACTTACTTCTAAACTTCTTAAGTAAACAAGGTGTCCTTCCAGTTGAAGACACTCTTTAGATATAGATTTAGAGATTTAGAGATATTTTAGAGATATTAGATTAGAGATAAATTTAGAGATATTTTGTCACTTGCAACCCAAAACATTTTAACTCATGCATGCGTTATCTCAGTTAATCCTCCGTTCATCTGTAAGGTAGTTACTATTATGAGACTCATTTCAAAATTACAGAACTAAAGTTTAGGGTTACTTGCCCAAGCTCACACAGCTAGAAACTGGAGAAGCCCAGTCTGAAACTGAGCACAATCTAGATCCAAAGTCCATGCTCTTCACCCTTTTATAGACATCAATGTGACAGCTGATCAAGCTGAAAGGGGGATGTGACTATCCCCCAGGTATGAAGGAAACAGTAGCCTATGTGTAGCTGAAGATCCAATATGCACTAGAAGAGCTGCTCTCAAGAAGCTCACTGTCCCCTGACTCACGGGAATCGGTGGAGTGGTGCCCCCCAACCAATCCTATGTTTTTGCCTTAATTTGGAAACTGTAATTGTGATCTTATGTGGGGGAAAAGGTCTTTGTAGATACCATTAAGGATCTTGAGATAAAGAGATCACCTTGGGTTATTTGGGTGGGCCCTAAATCCAATGACAAGTGTCCTTATAAGAATGACACAGAGGAGACAGAACAGGTAATGTGACCATGGGGGACAAGCCAAGACACTGAAGAAAGTACCAGAAGCTGTAAGACCAAGGACAGAATCTCCTCTAAACCTTTAAAGCAGACACAAACCTACCAACTACCATGACTTTGGGCTTCTGGCCTCCAGAACAATGAAGGAATACATTTCTGTTGTTATGTACCAACAAGTTTGTGTTACTTTGTTATGGCAGCCCAAGAAACTAATATACCTGGAGTCCTTCTCTCTTGTTTGTTTATTTATTTATTTATTTGGCAAAATTTGTTTTATTAAAGTGGTGTAGAACTGAACCTTCAGTTTCTCCACAGTATGCCTGCAAAACCCAATTGAAGTTTTTTTTTTAATTTTTTAATTTAAATTCAATTAGCCAAGGTATAGTACATCATTAGTTTTTGAACACACTCATTTCCCTTTCTCATATAAAGGAATCAGTATGCCTTTCTTCCAAGTTTGGTTGAATGTATTCCTTATGTGGCAAATTTCCAATGGAATCCTTCACACTTTAAGGATTGAGAGTAAACCACTTCCATGATGGAGGTTGAGGCACCTGTAGAGATGTGAATGAGCGTTTTGCTGAGAGGAAGGTCCATAGCTATTCTTTCTCAATAGGATATCCATAGAATCCAAAAACTTTAAGAATTCCCGAGAAAGAGTCTGAGCAAATGGAAGAATGAAAGGCAGCTGAGCTCTGAGAGAAATGAGAACAAAGACTATGAAAAATGCAAAAAGAATAAGTTTCCAATATTTGGAAGCAGGAAGAACCCAGTGAGTCAGAAGGCTTGAAATCCATGTCTCTAGAAAGAAGCCTTGGTTTCCTCTTGAAATGCAGGCAAGGAAGCAGAAGTTATAAAGGTTTTGCAAAAGAGACTACAAAAGGCAAAGTCCGGTCAGTCCCACATCTGAAGGGGGAAAAAAATGCTCTTTCTGGACAGAGGGCTAGGAGGTTAGAGGGAAGTTCAGATTTCTGTAATTAAATCTTGCATGTGGTTGAAAAAGGTAAATTCTGTTTCAATAACAAACAAGAAAAACACTGTTTCCAAAGAGTGATTTCTATTATATTGAGAACAAAGGGAGAAAAAGCAGGTGACTGAAAGTGAAGAGAGGCATGAACTTAAGTCGGACTCTAAAAAGGAGAAAGAATGGAACATATTTTCTGGGCCTGTTTATGAAAAGTGGGAGATGAAATTTAGAGGATTTCGACCAAGTCTTAGAATTCTGGCTGCCAAAACCACAAGCCCCAAATGACAGCTGATCCCTTGAAGCCATGCAAACTGCCTCCCAGGCAGCAGATGGGCTGGAGTCACCTGTATTACTCCCCGCTGACTTGAGAGCCAGTTGGGGGATGCCTGGGGGGAAGGCAGGGGAGAGCGCTGGAGAGCAAGTCTGCTTCCCAGAAAAACTGGCACAGAGTCCCGGTAGGCTTCTTTAATGACATTACAAAGTGTTTTGATACAAATGAGCTCACAGGTGTTTCCAGTTCAGGCTGGCCTGCTCCTTTGAGGGCACTGGCAAAACCAGGTGAAACCCCCAGCCTTGTTTTCAGCACATAGTTTATGATTTTAACCACAAGAAAACATCCTTCCCAAAATAGGAATCTGGTCCTTGAAAATTTCACAGACGACGGGCTTTCCTGCCGCACCAGTGGGTCATAACATCCAAGAGCTCATGTGCAGTCCCTTACAATAAATGTTTCAAGAGCTCAGGAGAAACAAAATGCACGTGTGTATAAAATGGGCCCGAATTTCTAAGGATTCTGCTCTAATACGGATTTCTTCTCAGGAGCAACTACAGTGTTTCTTAAACTTATTTCTAAGGATTCTGCTCTAATACGGATTTCTTCTCAGGAGCAACTACAGTGTTTCTTAAACTTACATGACCGAGAGAATATCTAGCAAGAAGGGCCCAATTAAGTTTTTGTTCCTGTTGTTTGTTTGTTTTTAGGAAAAAAAATCATATTAAACTCTAAATTGCTCTTCAAACTGGATCATCAAATCAGCAGAGGAATAAAATGTACCAGCTATTTGGCCATGCAAGTGACATGCTGTAAGCACATTCTGTAACGTGAGTATTCAATGTGGCACAAAACTTTCCTTATCAAATTATTTCTTCCTTCTTATCTCATGTTCTTTCCCAGCAGGCACGAGCCTGTGCCTGGCCTCCAGCATCTTCTAGGGCTCGCTGAGCTCAGACCTCCCATCTCCCATCTCACAAAGTCCAATGACGATTTTCTACTTGGGTCTAGTAACACATGAAAAAAAGGCAAGCAATTTCATTTAACAAACACATATAGAAGTTTCTGTGTGTCGGGCATAAATACGACCACAGCACTGTACAGACATTAACCCATTTAATCCTCAAAAAACCTCTGAGATTCTATTCTCACCTCTGTTTTACAGATGAGGACACTTGTCATATAGCTAGTAAGAGGAGGATCCAGGAGTGAATGAGTTTGTGAAATTAAACACTACGCCATGCTAGCTTAAGGTATAGTACTAGAAGGCGGCGGGGGGGCGGAATGAAGCAGAGTTATCAAACAATACTAAGCACTCATATGTAACCATTTATAAAAAATGGAGATTTAAGAAAATTAATAAATGGAGATTTTTTAAATGGAGGAAGGTTATCTAGAATGTTCAGGTGGACAGGTTTTCATCATGGGCTTCTAAAATTACAATTTATGAAGCTTTATGGTATATATCTATATACAATGGTAGTATTAATCAACTGATATAAAGATAATCACCAGTCAAATCTGTGTACACCTTTAAATCATCAATTATATTTATTTCTCTGATTATAAAAGTAATAACTCTTCATATTTGGAATATCCAGAAAAGCACATGGCCAAAAAAAAAAAAAAAATCACTCCTAATCCCACCATCTAGAAATCATCATCACTGATATTTTTTTAAAGATGTATATATTTATTTGAGAGAGAGAGAGAGAGCCCTCTTGCACAAGTGAACAAGGGGAGGGGCAGAGGGAGAGAGAGAATACTGAAGCAGACTCCCCGAGCATGGAGCCCGATGCAGGACTCGATCCCAGGACCCTGAGACCATGACCAAAGCTGAAACCAATAATTGGCAACTCAACCAACTGAGCCACCCAGGCGCCCCATCACTGATATTTTTATAGAGAGAGTCTCTCGTCTTCTTTCTCTATGGATATTCACTGATTGGTGTATTGACTTAGCATTTATTAAATGTACTCTTTTTGGGCCAAAGTGATGCATTATTCAAAGAAAAACAAGTTATATTTTTTTCAGTGTCTACTAAATATTCTCTAAGAGTTGTAAAAGTCATAAAACCAATACATTAAGATTGCAAAAGTACATTTAGAATAGAAATAAGCTCCCAGTGATTCATATGCTAGAGCATTCTTAGAAATTCAAATATTCAGTCTAATTGAAGTCACAATGGTGATACTTTTCAAAATATGATTTCGTCATTACATTTTCTGCATTGCCCAGAGCAAAGTTTTAGCATCAGTAGGTTGAAAACAATGCTTACTCTTAAATTTGTGCACAAACTACTTGATAGGGCACATCCATTAATTCATGATTATTTTCTTAATACATTGATTCTAAAACTTCTCTAAAATAGGAAGGCACAAGACAACTAAAAGGAAATATTGACTTATGATTCTTCTCATACTGCTTAGCGTTTGTGAAGTAAACTGTATCCACCACGCATGTTATAATTACTAATCACAAAACACCTCGCTGAGCTAGTAGTAGAACAATTCTTTCCTACAGGAGGAAAATTAACACTATAAATCGACACTCTAGTTTGAACATTTGCATGGCTACATGCTATGATTTCCAGCATCACAAGAGGCTGAAGGAATTCCTCAGTTGAGAGTAGACTTCCCGTGGTGGTGGCTACAATGTCACAGCTTCGAAGCCAGTTTCCTCTTGACTGTCCCAGTAATTTTGCCATATGGATTGTCCAATGGTAGCAAGACCTGTAGAAAAACCACATGGCAACTTCAGAGGCATTAAAATAGGCCTCTCCTTTTTTCTGTGAATCAATAGTAAGTCAACAGCAAAAACAACAACTCACTAAACAGGAAAATGTATATGCCCTACAGTCATAGAGTTATTTCAAGTACGGGAATGCCTTATTTTTCTGGCAATAGTTGAGAGATGAGTTGATGGTCCCAAAAATTAAAGACTTTTTGAAAAATTTTAATCACTGGGATATGAAAGTTTCTCAAATGCATTATATATCCCCCTGCTTTTTCAATAGAATGTGGTGAACCTAATTTGACCTTTGCTTGATGATTCACTTTGAACATCAGTCATTGTCCAATGCTATAATACCGCCATGGCCTCAGGAACATTTGAGGTCCTCTGGGCTGTTAGCCCAATACTAAATGGCTCCAGACAGCTGTGAATTTAGAGCGGTTCTCTCTTCCCACCCTGTCATTTGTCACTCCTCTGCCGTTGTCAGTGTATCCTGACTCCCTGCTTTTCGTGTGTTGCCTTCACTTTGTAGCCGAGAGCAGCTCCGGCCACCCCCAAAGTGCAGACACAGACCTGGGCCAACTTGTTCAGCCTCTCGGGTGCCTTCACGCAGAGCCCTGGCCCGAAGGAACTGGGCCTTCCTGCCTCGGGGTCCCCAACTGTTCTTCAGGTGGGAGCTGAGGAAGCTGCAAATCTGACTTCTTGGGTATAGAGACACAACCAGCAAGCTGGCAACAAGTTTTTGAGCTGGGATCGGTGCAAACCAGAGGTGTTTGGGGGCCCTGAGGAGACCTCCTTTCTCCACTGGCTTCCTGGGCTAAGCACTGAGTCATGACACTTGGCCCTTTTCTGTTTGGGGCCCCTTTGTTTTACCTTTGGTGGACATGGCCAGGATTACTTTCAGGTCCCCCTCCTGCTCTTTAGAAGGTAATTGCTTTAAAAGGCTTTATGGGTGGCTCAGTCGTTAAGCGTCTGCCTTCGGCTCAGGTCATGATCCCAGGGTCCTGGGATCGAGCCCCACATCGGGCTCCCTGCTCTGCGGGAAGCCTGCTTCTCCCTCTCCCACTCCCCCTGCTTGTGTTCTCTCTCTCACTGTCTCTCTCTGTCAAATAAATAAATAAAATCTTAAAAAAAATAAAATAAAATCTTAAAAAAAGAAAAAGACTTTATACTCTAATTAATGGTATTCTGGTAATCACCATGCTTTCCTTCCACCACAGTAAACAATGGTGCCTCCCTGCTCAGCTGAGTGAACAGCACCTTGGATCAAGGTTGCTCTCCTCTGCCACTCAGAGTTTTCTAGTAGCTATCCTGGCACCAGGCATGACCTTCGTTTCACATGACCTTCAAGTTCCCCAGCCTCCACCTGCAGCTGTGGTGGTGCAGGCCCCACACAGCCCAGGAACACAATTTGCAGAACAGAAACAAGGTGACTGGCCAGAGGACTGTGGCTAAGAAGAAGGCTCCTAGGTCAGCAGGCCCAAATTCTATGGCCACAGAGCCACGTTGATAGATGGTCCCTCTCCCTACACACTAAAACAAGCTATCAAGATGATGTTTTTCAAATTCTAGAAGCCTATGCAAGGATGGATCAGATAGAGAAATCCTACCATTCTGAAAGTGGTTTGAGAGGGGAAGGACAGTTCTAATCTCCAAGGCCCTACTATTTCAGGCTGTTGAGTCAGACACTCCCACTTGGTTTAACCTTCTGTCATGGCTTAAAACAAGTCCAGGTAAGTGTTTTTTTCCAAAACAAGGTTCCCTTTCAAAAAGTGCACTTCCTCATCTCGCTTTCTATAATTGCAATTGGAAACACAAACACTCTTTCATTTTTCTGTTGACATTATCTGTTTATATGCTACTTAAATTGATGACTTAATCCAAAGTTAAAGACGATGAAGGAAAATGAAAATAGAATCTTTTTCTTCTCGTCGTCGCCTCATCATGGAAGAATAATGAAGCCGTGACCTTGGGTGGCACTTTTCGGAGAAGTAGATCTCAGAGCTGTCTCTTCTGGCACACTCTGTGCTTTCCTTGTCTTTTACTCCCTGCAGCCTCCAACCCTCCCCCACAATCACTCATCCACTTCTAGGGTACTCCAGGCTTAGGTATGGAAAGGCCCAGAGTCTAAGAGGACTCTAATCAGTGGCAACTATAAATACTCCAAAACAACATCTGTGTAGAGTTTTGCTTGGCGATGCTATCATCCCAAATTTATAAAGACAAGTAAGGGTGTGGGGGCAGGAGGGTGGATGTACTTTAAATGTTTTTGAAGTTCTCTTACCTCTTCCTTGTTGATCAGTCCCATTTTGGACATGTCTATGTTAAAGTAGTGCATGTTGGGCAGGCTGATTTCCATGTCTTCTATCTGGAATCCGAAGTAATATGGATCACATTGGGCAACTGTGAATCTCTCTCCCTCTATCACTCCTCCCCTGCAACCCACCTGCCCAGTAGCCCATTATTCAAGTTCTACCTCTGTCCCTGAGACACCCTCTGATGATCCTCTACTGCTTGACACAGTTGTCTCCTGATAGTCCTATTATTAGATGGTGGACCCAAGCTTTTCCCCTCTGAGTACACAATCTGTTCTCAGAAAAGTAAGAGTTCCTTGGGTCAGAAAGCTGTGAGAACTTTGGTATCCAACTGGCCTCCTGGTGCTGGCCAGTCAACCTCTTAAATTCTTCCTCAGTCCATTCCCTCCTCTCTAGGCCTGTCCCAAACATTTGCAGGCCCTGGGGTAAGAATATAATTGGAGGCCCACATACCAGATGTTTAAAGCTATGAATAAAAAAGTTAAAAAATAAAGTTATGAATCAGGCAAGAAACTTTTAAGTGAAATATGTTCTATCCTTCCAACTTGACAAATATACCTTCATAACAACCTGGAAGGCCAGGATATAATTTAGAATTCTCTGACTGCTTACAATGCCATGCCAGGATGTGGTAGTATGGGAAAAGCCAGACCCCAGCCCCTGGCCCATCCCACCTTCTCTTTTGGACTCACATGGGTGGACACCCTTGCTTACATGTCAAGTCTCATCCATACCTCCTGCAAACATCAGCCCCTTCACCTACTCTCAGGCCTAAGGGTGTATACACTGAGGGCATAATCTGCCTCCAGAGGATGGATCTGAGGAAGAGGTTTGCGCAGTTTCTGAAAGTAGTCTCAGGGTTATTTGGGCAGTTAATTCTGGGCTGCAAGTATTCAGAGAATGATCTAGAGAATGTGGGTCCCTGAAGGTTTTGTTGCCTTGGCCCCATTGACTCTTCATCCAGTGAAGAGAGGCATAGCCAGAGAAAGGCTTGGAAAGTGCTGAGCCATGGCAGGTATCCCTCTTGCCCATGTCTAAGGGTGGTACTCTTCCTCTCCAGCCCATCATGGAACTAAGTTCAGGCCCTTCTTGTGAGATTTCTGCTTCCCAAAAGCCTCCAACAGGTCTCCTTGTCTGTAATCTATTATCCTTTTAATTTATCACCCTTTTTTAGAGTGATCTTTCTAGAGTGCAAATCCAGTAGTGCCACACCTTGCTTAAACCTGTCTGTGACTCCTAAGAGCTTTCAAGTTCAAGTACAGACTGTAAACAAGCCCACAAAGATCCTCCTGATCTGGTTCCTGCCTCATCCCTAGGCACGTGGAAAGACTTTCACTCATGGAGCTTCATATATGGCAATCCTCAATGGCAAATGACCGCTCTCTGATGCCTCCTTCTCTATATACCTACCATGCTCCCTCACCCTTAAGTGTGAACCCAGAAAACCCCTACTTGTCCCTTAAGACTCAACCCAAACACCTCTCCCTCAGAAAGCCTGGCTGGTCCTATGCCCCATACCTGAGTTAGACACCTTTCCCTGTATTTCCATAATAGTCTATGCTCTACTGCATCATTAGTTTACTTATTCTTTTTTCTTTTACTCAAAGATGGACTCTTTGAGGGTAGGCACCCTGTCTAATCTGTCTTTGTATTCTTCATGTGTTGACCGAGATATAATAACCATCCAATAACATCAGATGGATAGATGGATGGATGGATGGATGGATGGATGGATGGAATCTGTCTGCATCTATCTTTCATTCCCTGGCTACCCTGAAACATAGACCCTTGGCCTAATTATTCCTCCTTCAGGGCATTTCAGTGTCCTGATATGAGGCTTAAATTGTGGTAGGTTGAAAAGACCCACAGAATTTTCAACAAGCCTAAAGAACTATAGCAGTGGCCTGTGTTTTCAGGTTGGACAGATTTTTCCATTTTTTGCTCTCTTCTCACTTGCTATAACAAGCTTTTGAACAACAACAGATGTCATTTTTCATGTGTCTTCCACTGTCTTATTTTAACTCTCAACTCTCTGTCAGAGCTGACGGGAGACACAACAAGTTCTCTTAGTCTTCAGGATGGCAAGTGACAAAACATACCTCAGGAACCCGGCTCAAAGAGTGCACCTGGATGTCATAGAGGGTCTTCTGGACAGAGGGTGAGTACTCTCCTTTGTCATAGGGTCCAGCAAATATCTCCAGGACAATGTCCCGAACAGTATCACTAAAACACAGAAAAGAGACCTGAGGACTCATAGAGTGGTCTTTTAGGAATGCACTATAAAGCTGGGAAGTGGTGACCTTCTGTCCCCCCAGAAAACACCTCACTTCCGATTTCCCTACACACACACACACACACACACACACATACCCTATTCAACAAAAGTATTGTCACTAGACTATCTTCATCATTTGGAACTAGGGTCCATTGGGCATTCCAGAGTAAATCTTCCTCACATTTAAGAACCCATGAAAAGGACTTCTGAGTATGCTAGTGCTCTTACTGCTCAGCTTGGCCATTTCTTTGCATTATTATGTTTTTAGGTGTTTTATTCTGTGCCAGGATCCATGTTAAGGATTTTATGTGATTACTTCATTGAATTCTCTCAATATAGCTGAGGCAGGTACTATTATTATTCCCAATTTAGACATGAGCAATCTTAAAATTTAAATGATCCACACTAAGTCGCTCTCCTTAGTAGGAGGCCCAACTAAGACCCTGATTCTGCCATGTTCAATTTTGTGCTCTTTCCAACAGAAATACATCAGCGTGCAGCCAATGGGGAACACTTAAAATAAAAAAGGAAAAAGAAGATTGAGGTGAGGTTCTCTGTAAGCATTTTGAAACCCATCACATAATAAAAGGAGTAGAGCAAAACTACGCCAGTGGGAGGAAGCTACCAGGGGGCAGATTCCAGCTTATCAGAAAGTAACGTTTCTAACGATTAGAACTTCAGCAGACGAATGAGATGCCTGGTCAAAAAGCAAACTGAGAGTCCAGAGGCCTAATTACTGCTTGTCAAGGATATTATAATAATAATCACACCTTTACGTTGTTAAGGCATCTATCATTTATAAAATACTGCTTCTGTGAGTATCATCTCATTCTGAGTTTAGCCTACAGTGACCACCTGTCCCAGTTTGCCTATGACCAAGGGGGTTCCTGGGACATGAGACTTTTAAGTATCAGAAAAGTCCTTGGCAAACTGGGATGAGTTGGTCATCCTCATGTAGCCCTCTCTGCATCTACTATGAGGTAGTAAACCCAAATATCATTAGCCTCGCTTGATACAGTGATTCTTAAAGTGTGGCTCCTGGGCCAGGAGCATCAACATCAGCTGGGAGCTTACTAGAAATGTAAGTTCTCAGGCCTCACCCCAGACCTACAGAATCAGAACCTCTGGAGGTGGGCCCAGTAATTTGCATTCTAGCAAGCCCTCCAGGTGATTCTGATACACAATAATGTTTGAGAACTGATATAATCAATTGAAAAACAGAGGGTCAGGGAAATTAGGTGATCCAGTCAAGGTCATTTTAGCTAATAGCATCGAGGATTTCAGTGCAGATTTACTAATTTAAATCAAGAGCATTGTCTTTCTGCTATCCAACAGAAGGACTCCGAACAGTGGGGAGGTTGACTTGGATGGCCTCTAAGTTTCCCTTTCAGATAGAAGAGTCTATGACCTTGGGGCCCCTGGGAAGAGGGCAGAGGTGGTGCCAGGCCCTAGCACAAGCTCATACCAAATAGCATCAAAATCCATGTCTCTGCACTGGTGATAGCGCCATTTGCAGTATACTTGGGTGGCAAAACACCGGTCCTTCACCTCAGGGAGGGTGGTGAACTGGTCCTTGATGAATCCTTCAAATCCAGACTGGGTCGTTTTCAAGACCTTGAGGTCTTTGATTCCAGAATGAATGACTGGAGGTCCTATTTTAAGTAAAAACGCAAGAAGGAATAAAGTCATAAAATAGTGTCTTCTTACTGATACCTAGCTCTAAGGATCCGGGCCATTAAAACATGGTGCACCATTTGAACAAATAACTACCTCACTGCCCATATTTTCTGTCTCCCTGTCTCCTCTGAAGTCCAAGTGATGAGGATGGTGTGCCTTTCTCTCTATCTGGATTCCATGACTCCCCACCTTTCTCCAGCCCTAGGAGAACTGAAGGTTGGAGACTAAACCTTCTTGTTGTGTTGAAATGAACACCTTCCTCTCAGCTACACGTATAGGTGACTTCTAGGCCAAATACCTTCTACTTTTTGAGCTCTCCTTTATTCAACAGCTAATCATGCTGATTAGTAAGCTCCTCCAGAACAGTTCTTCTGTTTGCTACTCTGACTGCCTTTATGGGACGGGGGAGAGTTAGTCCTCATGTTGATCATCTACACTGGCTGATGGCTCCAGTGATCATCAGACCCTCAGTTCTCTTGTGGTCATGAGCTCACTGAAACCAGACAACTTCATGAATGGGTAGCATTGCGGACCTGGCTCAGTCTAAATAGAGACTGGGACGATGAGGCAGTGACCCATAGGGCATAGATCTGCCTAAATGAATACCCATAACGACTTTTGGTTTGGTCTGAAGGAAAAGGGACAAAGTTGGTTCACGGGGACCTGGGGGAGAGAGGGCAGAGTTGGCAAAGATGGAGGGGATGATAAGCCTCTCCTGCAGTCCCTGACAGCATGAGGTGAATGGGGAAGGTGGAGGGATAATAGGTATAATCTGAAGAAGCTATTTATTTGTGTACCAGGCAGGTCTAGCTTGGGGCGCAGGACAGGTGGGGCATAGAGTTAGTGAGGGGAAGATTCTCTCTTTTTCTATGTGGAACACACTGTAGCTCCAGCAGTTTGGTGAAGCCTGAATAGAACATGGCACCAGGTGACATACTGGGAAATCCCAGAGTACAATGTTCTGTAGAGAGCATCATTCTTTCCAAAGAGTAGGGACAATGAGCACAGCCAGTGCTGAGCAGAGCCAGTGAAGCAGTAGTGGTACCCAATGGGTGCAAACTTCTCCCTAAACACGTGTGAAACAGACCTCCAGACTGTCAGGAGGTGGGAGAGTTTGACTGGAGAGATCCAGCAGTTTTGTAATGAGAGAACTACAAGGCCAGAAAAATTCAGGAATTAACATCACCATAGACTTATTTGTGCAGGCTGGTGAAGCTGGATGTTCAGGGTGCACTTGGGTACAAACCCCGAGTAGCATGGTGCCATGACAGGATGACTAAGGTCATCTCTTTTCAGTCTTGAAGTTAGGCCTGATTAATATCTCTCTTTCTTGGCTGGTTTGGTGTATAACTCAAGGGCCAGAGGCATCAGGCATCACTATGTTGTACATGGTTTTAGTTGAAGGACAAGAATATAATTCTATCCTCAGTTAAAATCCAGGGCAGCTCTTAATAACCCAATAGTTTATATCTTCTCAAGTTACTGTGGTTATCTCAGGAGCTGTGGAGTTTAGAAGTAGGTAAATAATGACTATATTTTGATATTTTCCCAGCCACACATGTACATCTACCAAAGATAGCGATGGCCAGTGGCTAGTGGTAGATCAGTTGATTAAATAAGGTCTTCTGGTTGGAGTGTTCCAGGATAATGAGGCAAAACCGAAATGATATTTGTTTAACATTCTGAAGTTCTCTTTGGAAACTACATCTGAAGAAGGATCAAGAGAAAGGCACTAGCAATGACTGCATGCTTTAAGTTGGCTTGATGTAACAGATTTTAGATGTATGAAGACATAGTTATGCAAAATCAGCATTTCTAAATGCTGTGTAGAGCTGATCCAAGTGAGTCTAAGTTTAAAATCCAAGAGGATTGTAGAAGCAACCAATAAGTATCTATTGAATGAATGAGTGAATGCATGCAACAGGATTGATGCACATCAAAGAATAAATATTTCACAGCTAGTCTCTTTTTTTTCTAGACAGTTCTCTTCCATCAGTCTTTACCATTTCCCTTCCTGATCACACCCACCAAACTATAATAGACAGCATGGCAGGGGAGGTGGAGGACATCGCCATTAGCTGAGAACATCTGGACTATCGGCAACCGTTTAATTGCTGCCTTTTTCAGTCTTTATTTTACTTAATCCTCGCAATTCTATTAAGCATTTTTATACAGGAGACTTTCAGTCATTTGCTCATAGTCACGTGGCTAGAAACTGGCAGGGGTGGAATTTGAACTCAGCACTTTATTATTTCCTCCTTTTTGGATCCCCTTCCCCATCCCCACGATGTTTTCCCCTTCCTTTAACTCTCCTCATTTTTTTTACAATAAGAGGCCTTTCCAGGAGACAAGAAGGCTGCCACCTTCCCTTCCACAATGTTCTTTGAGAGCCTCAGACAGAATCCCCAGCCTGAAAAATACCATCTCCATTGATCTGAAACAGAAACTGAAGCATCACTTTTAGAAATGGCCCCTGTGTCTGGAAAACTTTTTATTCCTTAAAAATTTCCTACTGAAATACAAAGACCCCATAAAGAAGTGACTTCTTAAGCCTTTATAAACTAATATAACCTACTTCTAACAGTTATCCCTTCTAAAAAAAAAAGTCCTATAGAAATGAAATGTAGGTTTGTAATAAGGAATGAGGTTAGAACAAGCAGTGGGAATCCTTGAGGGGGGATGAAGAGAAAGTCAATGAGAACCAAAGGCAAATTTTACCTATTTTATCTTTTCCTATACAGCTGGACTTTATCACCAACATCCAAGTAAGCCAATAAGACCTTGGCTCCTCCAATGGTCTTAGTCATAAAAGGATTCCCGGATGTAGTGTTGTTGCATAGTGGTTGAGGTCACAGCCTTCGGACTCAAGATTTCTTGAATTCAAACCTTAGTGCTTTCTGTGCCTCTCCTCCCCTATTTATGAGCACTATTCCCCTCAGAAAATACTTAGTCCCTCTCTAACTTGAGTTTCTCATCTTGAAAATGGAGATGATCACCATACCTATTTCCTGTAATTGATAGATGTCTGAGATAATATCTGTAAAGTACTTATTAGAATGGCTGCCCCACAGAAAAGGCTTTCTAAAAGTTATCATGATTTTGCAATAATTGACTTTTTCTTACCAACTTTAACTACCTGTGAATGTTTCCCATGTTTCACAAAGGCTCATTGGGTTCTGAAAACTACTTCTGACATGCCATCTCTGCCAACCTCCAACCCTGCAATGAGATTTATTGATCTCTGGGGAGTGTCAGTTCTGCTAGGCAAATTTTAAATGATCTATTTTCTTGCTAGAATCTGAAAATGAAGAAAAAGTTGAATTTTCTAATGTGTTCTGGCCTCAGTTTCACATAGAATAAAATGTTTTTATGTTCCCAAAGACAATTAACCATTGCCACAGTTTTGGCAGAACACAAACCATCTACTCTGGTGCACTCATCATTCTATGAAGAAACAACAACAAAAAACCCCTATTCTCTTTTAATGTGAAGAATTTTTCTTCCTTGGCACACATTAGACACTCTGGATGAAATCAAAGAGCTTATTTTATCTTCTCTGTTGGCGGTGCCCCAGTTTTCTGAACACTGGTACGAACCTGAGCATTTCAAATTCATGGACCCATCAACTAAAAATATGTTGCCTCACACAGGCTAAAAACAATTCCAATTTATACTAACAGAATTAATTCAACCAAAAGGACTGTCCTTTTCTAGGTTACTTGTCATGAAACCACTTAATCAGCTTTTTTCCTTTTTTTTTTTTTTGCCATGGTTATAGAGTAATGCAAAAGAAGATTTTTCACATTTCACTTTGCTAGAACATAATCTTTGCTAGCTTTTAGTGTCCTCCTACACACTTAACAGATTGTGGTTTATCTCTCAAAGAAGCATACATCCTACCCCTTAGCTCTCTAAGGGAAAGAAACTCACTGCAAATTAATAGAAAATAAGCCCAATTCCTTACCTACGCATCAGGTGTCACAAAGCACAAAGCTTTATTGAGCCAAGAAAAAAAAAAATCCTCTCATGAAGAGGATAATTGCTTCCATGTTTAACACCTCCAAAAAGGACACAAATAGCTAAAAGGAGGATATTTTAAAACTATATTAAATCATTCTAGTAGAAAAACCTCAAACTTGTGAAGTGCTAGAGAAAGTGAAGATTAAATATCATTTGTCTTTGAGAGTCCATTTCACTCATGCAGGGAGAGTGCAAGGTACCTCCGTGCAACTCTGGTTGGGGAAAAAGTGGTGTCAGCCAGGTGGAAGGAAGTTAACTGGGCTTTTGTACAACGAGGTTGTGATAGAGATGATTTAAAAAAAACTTGTGTGTACTAAAAACTTGTCTTTTGGAGAAACTGAAGAGTGTTTCTGTCGTGATATCAAAAAGGACATACACAGCCTTCGTGGCAATGGGCCGTCTCTGTCCTGAGTCTCCAGTTCCTCCCTCTCACTTCTTCCGCCTGCCGAGCCTCTGAAATTACTCTCCTCTAGGACTTCAGTTTCATCACCCCCCTTCCTTAAGACCACCTCCAAGGCCCTACTGGTCTCCATGTCAATAGATTTTTTTTTTTTTTTTACTTCCAGAAGACAGTATCTCTTAGCTGACATGTCTTCTCCATCTTCCATTCTTCTACTTAGCAATGCTTTAGCTGAATTTTTATACTTACTGTCAGATTGGGAGGAATTTGATTCTTAAAGAATTGTGAGTTATAAATCAAATACTGCAGAGGTCTGGGGGGCAATTTAGTCCAAATTAGTGACTCAACCATCTCAGCAACTTCAAGACTTGGCTACGCTTGTCGTTCAGGAAGACACATGAGAGAAAGAGTTTGTAGGATCCAGGTTCCTTAGAATGCCTGAACCAATGACTTGCATCACACGTGCAGAACCTAGCTCTTCTCTCAGAGTTTGGCAAGTCACAAACATAACATTTGTCATCCCTTTGGGTGAACAAATTTCTCTCTCTCTTCCAG